GCGGCGCCCCCGGCTCCGCTGCGCGGGGGGCGCCCGCGGCCCTGGCCTGAAACAGGCGGGCAGAGCCTCCGAGGTGTCCTTCGGCAGCTGATTGCGGTTGGGTTTTTGGCACAGGACTTACAACCTTAGATACTTGATTAGTTTTCAGAGCACCACATTGGCAGATGAAAGCTGCGTGGTAAGGGCCCAAAATACATCAACCAAATGGCAACCAAATAAAAAAGATACCATTTCAAAACACAACTTCCTCAAGAAGATGCACCTGGTGTTGGAACTCAACAGAAAAAACTGCACTTTAAAGGCAGATAAAACAGTCACGGCAAGATCAGCTCAGAGACTACCAGATCTTACATGACCAAGCAGACAGGAATGGGGAAGGGAGAGCCCAGCCGACGCAGCCGGAGGTGCCAGCGCGTCCCCCTCGCCTGCGAAGGAGGCTGCTGCCTGCCGGCCATGCTGCGTGGGGAACCGTCTCTCCGGAGCAGTAGGATCTCATGCGTCAGGCCTACCAGTAACTATGCTGAGTAATTAAGGTCCAGTCATCCACACAGCTGGCTATGAACACAGGTCCTAAAATATCTGTACATAAGCACTCCTTGAATTGTGAATCTTTAGGGTTTGGGTGTTGGTGGGTGATTTTTTGCACTATAACTATAGTTAACCTATGCATTTTCTCACATATTAGGAAATGCATAGGAAAACTAACAAGAAAAACAACAAAGACCCAGACTATGCTTTTCTCCTGAACTGTAACAACATTGTATTAGTTGCTGACATCCTAAGAATAAGTATCGGAATGACATACACAAAAAATTATAACCACTGACAGACAACACAATCTGGTTTTGAACATATATATCAACCCAATTAGCAAATCTTAAAGTCTTATCAAGCACTTCTGTAATACAAAACACCCTTCTTAGAACTGTACCCATTAGCAAAAATAGCAAGAGGAATAATTGAGCGTAGCACTTCCCTTCTTCCCTCTGAAGCCTCGAAGGCTTGATTTTCAGGAAGGGAAACTACTACAGAAAAAGATCCTTTTTATCTTGACAGTGATCCACAGCTTCATCTATACGTCTGCAGAAGTCATCATCATTGGAGACAGAATCTATGGAGTTCATCAGGAATCACCAACAAAACACCAAATACATTACATAAATCTTAATATCTTTTAGTTTTCGTATGCCCTAAAAGGGGTACATTTCAAGATTTGTAACTGAAAAAAGGGGCCCAGATACCAACCTTCTTAAAGTAGACTGAAAGGCTTGTATTGATTTCAATGGTCTATGTATTTGTCCCAAAGAAAACTGACACTGTTATCCAAGTTTTCTCCAGCAAAGATGTGTACCTCCTGTCCCCGCTCCGTTTGTCTCCCAGCAGCAGCATCCCCATGCAGAGCACACACACAGTAACCTATGCATTTCCCTTTTGGGAGCTATCATGGTTAGCATATTTTAGAATGGAATGGAATGGAATGGAATGGAATGGAATGGAATAGAATAGAATAGAATAGAATAGAATAGAATAGAATAGAATAGAATAGGACTATTTCAGTTGGAAGGGACCTACAACGATCATTAGTCCAACTGCCTGACTACTTCAGGCTGACCAAAAGCTAAAGCATGCTATTAAGGACGTTGTCCAAATGCCTCTTAAACCCTGACAGGCCTGGGGCATCGACCACCTCTCTAGGAAGCCTGTTCCAGTGTTTGACCACCCTCTCGGAAAAGAAATGCTTCCTAATGTCCAGTCTAAACCTCCCCTGGCGCAGCTTTGAGCCATTCCCACGCATCTGATCGCTGGATCCCAGGGAGAAGAGCTCAGCACCTCCCTCTCCACGTCCCCTCCTCAGGAAGCTGTGGAGAGCAATGAGGTCGCCCCTCAGCCTCCTTTTCTCCAAACTACAAACTAGACAAGCCCAAAGTCCTGAGCCACTCCTCACAGGACATGTCTTCTGGCCCTGTCACCAGCTTGGTTGCCCTCCTCTGGACGCATTCAAGGACCTTCACGTCCTTCTTAAATTGTGGGCCCAGAACTGCCCAGAGTACTCAAGGTGAGGCCACACCAATGTAAAATAGAGCACTAAATACGGTATGCTAAATACAGTCATTTTATCAATTACTAAGTTTGCTTTCTCTCTAGAGAATCACCAGATATTTTCGTAATTATTATTCACTAAGGACAAGAATAGCAGATAGTACACAAATCACGCACAGAAGAAATGCCACTGGCCTGAGGTGCCACAGCTCAGTGTCTGTACGGTACACTGAGCAAGCCAGAGAAAGAATAACTTGAAAAAATATTCTTATATGTATTTACAGTCTCACACTCTTTGAACTATAGTATACAGCAAAGGCAGAGAAGTATAATTATGTGTGGGCAGGATATTAGGCTTATTTTTATGATGCCTTTTGTCTGACATACAATTATGTTGAGGCTCTGCCTTAGTTATGGGACCGCAGAATAAAGCTGTCTTCTCACCAGGTCTGGTAAAGCTCTACTGCGACTAAGGCCACCCACTTCACGGTATTTGTAATACCATTAGATATTCTGCCTCCTTGTCACCAGGATCTTTTTCCGAAGCGTGAATATTTTTGGCTACTTCAGTCTGACTACTGATGTAAAAGAGTACCATTACAGCAACTGGAGTTTGGCGCAGATAGGAAAACAAGCCTATATTCCACTAAAAAGTAAGAAAAACTATATCATCCTAAAGAGATAAAAGAGTAAATATCATGCTATCTGACCTCCTTCTGTCCCATGACCATTACTAAGCTGCCCTGCGCCAGGAAAATGAACAAAAATATCACTATTGTAATGACCTCGTTTACCCGAGTACCCCATTTTCCCGAAGCCATTCCAGCCTTGGAGGAGAGGATTGCAGCAGCCATGCTACGTAGTACCCTCACCTTGCGATCAGTATTGGGGGCGGCCAGGTCCCAAATGGAAAGCATCTATCTTAGGTGTTCAGTGCGTGGGATATCAGCATCAAAATCAGCATGAAAACATAACACAGGGCAAATGCTGCATATAGAATATTAATGTATGACAGATGTTTGCCTTTTCTGTACTTCATTAATGTATGTAAATTAGATAATAGAATTAATATATCGGAATTTAATTGAGAGTATCTATGCCAAAAAGTTGGGTTTGGTTTTGTTTCAGTAAAATACAAAGTTGATGCTTGTACTCTCAACGGTGATTAACTTTGAGGCTAAGACAAGCATCTTGCATCATTTGTTGAAAGGGTGCTCACGGTCACACCACACCTGTCATGGATGCCCACCTTCCAGGAACCCCACACAGGTAAAAGTGAACAGAGGACTGGCCCCAAAACAAATTAAGTGGAATGGTTTCTAACGTCCGCTTTCCAACACAGCAATTCATTGTATCTGAAGGGCCTCAGTACAGTTATTTTTCTGGCTCCTACGGAACCTGGGGCAGTTGTAAAGAGAGACAAGACATCTCAGTACTGCTACAGAGAAGCAGGAGCACAGATTTACGGCATGCTCTTTCCTCTCTTCCTCCTGCAAGGCTCTCAGTCTTTCCTTTCTCCACCGACTGAATAAACAACACTGCAAACCCACAGCTGGTCCTTGGAGTTGTGTCCCAAGTCACTTGGAAGCCGTCAAGAGGAGACAGGCCAGCGAAGCTCCTCCTGCAAGCCCTGCCCCAGCGTCATGGGGAATCGCACCCGGGGGCTGGCGTTAGGAATGGAAACTCTGGCAGGCAAACTCCCTGGCATTTAGAAAAAGCTGGTTTCAACTGAGA